GAACACTTCCATTAAAATAGTGAACTTAATAAAGTCAAAGCCATTGCAATCGCTCTTATTTGAGAAGTTGTGTGAAGAAATGGGAAGCAATCATAAATCACTTCTGCACACAGAAGTACGTTGGCTCTCGAGGGGTAAAGTGCTAACAAGACTTACAGAACTCCGCGAAGAAGTTGCTATATTTCTGGAAGGTAAAAGCGATTTTGCGAGATATTTGCGCAACGAGGAATTTGTTCTGAGGCTCACGTGTTTGGCAGATATTTTTTCAAAACTAAACGAACTGAATTTGTACTTGCAAGGAGCAGAAGGTATCAGTATATTTGCAGTTCATGAGAAAATTCGAGGTTTCATGAAAAAACTTGTTCTATGGAAAAACTGTATTGACAACCGAAATTATGACTGTTTTGAAACATTTCAAACCTTTGTAATGGAGAATGAAGCAAAAGTTGATGACGATATAATCATTGAGATATCTGAACACTTTAATAAGCTGAAAGAGAGTTTTGAGTTTTATTTCCTTGAAGAAATGAAAAATATCCAAGAGAAAAAATGGATTATGAACCCCTTTCAGCCTGACATAACGAGTGGGATATCGACAAAAGCTGAGGAAGAACTTTTTGATTTATCTGAGGACGCTTCATTAGAAATGAACTTTAACAGCAGAAAACTGATACAGTTCTGGGTGTCTGTTTGAAAACCATACCCAATCCTTTCCACTGAAGCTTTGAAAAAGGGAGAAGTACCGAGACAATGATATGAAGATTTTTTGATTCCTACCATTGCTGAAAATCCAACTTCTTGAAGTTTATTTCGGAATTTGTCGTCAAATTCCTTACGCCTGAAACTAACCCACATTGATGTTGATGTCAATGCCATTCTTGACAGTAACAAGAAACAAGCACATCCTTCACACACGCCTCATTATTAATCAATTAGATAGCATTTATAAGTTCTGGAAATGTTATTGAAAATACGCGAGTATTTTTAAATGTAATTGAAATACGTGAATATGAATAAATAATATTTTTTATATTCTTTCATATGTTTTTGCCCAGTAAATTTGAGTGGGTCGCCATAAGCTGTGGTCATAAATAGTGGGTCACGATTCTGAAAAGTTTGGGAACCCCTGGTATAGAGTATTTAAATTAACTGTTTCCAATTTAACTAAAACTTCAAAAATACAAACTCATTATTTTTATTAATATGAAAATTGTTTTAACTTTTACATAATTCAATTGTTAAAATATCCAACATGCACACATTTTTCTTCAAGTTTAGAAATTTATCAGATTTTTTTAGTACAGCACATAATTATGATGTTGCTAAATTACTGTGGGTGATCAAGAAAATTATCAGAATAATAAAATAAACTGTCTTAGCATATAACAATCATCCATCTAGAGAAAAACAGGCCTTAAATTAGAAATATTTCAGAGTAGAACCTTAAAAAAACTTCTACATGTTTTTTTATTGCATTGCAAAAAAAAATACTGGATGAAATTCTTTCAAATTAGAGGTGCACTTTCTATAGAGTATTTAGCTTCAACAAAATAAAATACCAAGGCTATTCAAACTCATACCCAGTGACAGATAAGACATATCAAAAACATCACAATGCATAATTATAACTAAACAATAATGATCATTAGTCACTACTAAATGTTTCCAGTAAAATTTTGCTTTTAAATACATGACAGAGATAATCTTATTCAGCACAACAGTCTTCCATGAAGTCACTTCAAATACTGCGGAAATGCTAAGTAGCCTCAATATTAGAACTAAGCAGCATTACCTTGATAAGCTAGAAAAACCTCATATATCACAATGTTGTTAAACAAACTAGTGAACAGACATAATCCTTCTTATTTTGAAATACCAAATCCAAGTAACTTTGAATGACAATATATGTGCAATAAAGTCAATGTGTAAATACTATATTATAGATAATTTAAATTTTTTTATGTTATACAAACCAAAAGACAACGTAAGAAGAGCAAAAACAGGTGGTTAATTGGGCCAATTATGGTCACCGAACGTTCACTGGTCAAAAATATATAAAATCCAAAGCATCAAAATTTAATTAAATGTGCTCTTTCACAATAATTTTATAACCACAGGCAAGTTTTGTGTCAGTTACTTCTAATTCTCATGGTATAATAATGAGTAAACACTTATGCTAAATAGCCCAACTTATGAGTAATACCAAATCAGGCACATTGGTGGCACACAAAGTTTACTTATGAACAAATGAAACCCAGACTTCATGCTAGGAAAAACAACTACTGGTCAGAGTGACCAATTACTAATTATTTTACCAGTCACCACACAAAACAGTCACTGCCCAATACCAGCTCACTCTTAATACAAATATGTACAGGAGTGGTCAGTCTACTGGACCTACTCTCCATAGCAAAAGGAATTTTGACAATAGTTCTAAATTTACTATATGGATCTACATGAAATGTGGCAGCGTTTAGTACAATGTACAAGTCTATTGTACATAGTTTTGCACATTACATTTGTATAAGCACTAAAAACCACGAAATGCATATTTACAGTTTTTTTCATTATCCCTGTATATTGTGTCTGGTATTTACTCTCCTCTACCATAAACTGCCACTAAATCAGCAAAGTAGGGTAAAATGAGTAGTTGATAACTAACA